TGCTTGAAACCCATGCTTTAGAACATTCCGAAGGTTTTCCTTTAGCGGGCTCCAAGGCATTCTATAGGAGTTATTCCTTTTCAGTTCCTCTGAATACACTACCAATAACAATGACCGGATAAAATTTGGCGTCATTGTTGAAAAGTCTCGTACTCACTTTAAATTCGGAAAAATATCTTCCCACTAAGACTTTCCACTGGACAATGCTAAAAGGAACTCGGTTTACAGAACAGAATTCATGACCGCCAAATTCCTTACCATGGAGCCAGAGTTTGATAGGACCAGAAAACGGCCCAAGGGTTTTTCGTATCAGTGCTTTCTTGAGTTTTCACATGAGAGCCTCAGGCTAAATGAATAGAAATTTACTCGAGGAAAGTGACAATATTCCAGTAAAGCAGACTCCAATTTCAAGCAGAACAAAAGCTGAAGAGGAAGAACTCATGTACCACCCATAAGTCTTTTCTAGGCTATCCAAGTTAACGCCACGCCGTCAAATAGCTGCTCGCTTGACTCCGAAGTTCTCCAACTTTTCGATTACTTTCAAGGTTTTAAACGAAATCTTGCCGTTACTTTTATAATGCCACCACTCACCTGCGTCCCAAAATCCTCTCGCAGTACGTATTTTCGACATATGTTCTATTTTATATAATTGCCAATGCATAAAACATGAAGTGCAACAAAACAAATCAATACTACCCCAGGCACACATTATTGTGAAGTGCTTTCGGTTTACTCAGAATGCCGTTCGATCGGAATCGTCGAGTTCTCAGATATTGCTACCATTTTGCGGAGTATCATATTCGGAAGGATTAGTTCTCCTTTCAAAAAGAAAACATCGGAATAAAATTGGAATGATCGCATTCAACTTTAAAATGCTAGCATAACTTCCCTCTTTACCCAAGAAATTGTAGAGTAATAGGAAGAGCTCGAATAGGAGACCTTTAACAGGGAGTGTCGAATTCAATCGTTTGATTCCAATCGGCAATTTTTGATATCGTTTGTCTAGGGAACATTGAAAACTGTATTCAGCGGTTTTTGAAGAAGTCGAGTTCCCAATGAGTAATTACATGCTATTAGAGGAGGGCATGCCTTCTGGTTTTTTCCAGATGTATAACATTACCCACGTTGCATTTGGGGATACATCATGCAGTGTTAATGAACTTAGACTACAGTGTGGAGGATTCCCCTCCAGGAAGACGCTTATTGAAGAACAAGATTAGAAATATCTTGGGATAGGTAATGCCTTGCCACCACGCTAGATCCCGCATAAATCGAATCGAATACTACTATAGTATCAAAATAAATTAATTCAAAGGGATTAAAATATACGACATGCAGTTGAAGCTAAGAATAATAAAAAAAACAAATCCAAACAGCAAAAATAGATATGACAGACCTGAGTACATTGTCCTTGAGAACCTGTACGTCCGATAATTTTTGTCACCCTTGCGAGTTTTACTGGCTTGTCCATTATTAACTGCAAAACGAACTCCAGCCACTGACCAAGAGTTATTGAGAAGTGATATCGTCACGAGAAATGAAAGAGAGTCAGTAACGAAGTAAGCACAACCCACAAACATAAAAGTGATTAAAATCCCATGTCAAACCAGCGGTTAACACTAAAATGCATTAAGAACGGAAAGAAAATTCACGAGAAACTTTAGAAAGCCAAAACTTTGGCATCAACGTCGTTACGGTAGCCGACACAAATCTGTGCAGGACGCCTCGTGATGCGCTCCTCGTCGCCCTTTAGGTCCAAGTTGCTTGGCTACTTGAGTTAATTGAATGCCAACTTGGTAAGTCCTTTTTTTGCTATTCAGTTTACCTAGAAGTATAGGCGAGCTAAAAGACTTGAAAATGTGAAGGGGATAAGCCGATAGGATTTTGAAGAACAATGAAGAGTATTTGGGTATTACAGACCAGTCGGATCACCCGGGCTCTGCTCCTTCTCGTGTAAAGTTGACGTGCCGCCTGAATCCTTTCACATTTGGACGCTCCGATGCAGGTGAACAGGAGTTATAGATCTCCGGCCAGACACACATAAACGCCCACACACACGTACATACATGTACAGGTCTATCATCACCTATGCAGCCGGCGCAGCAAAGGTGGTTTCCGGAGTCTCCACCCTTGAACCCTAAAAATAGCGTGGGATCTACGCGGCATTTTTCAAATGCTAAGGCTTTGACGTGGGGGATACACACGGGGACAAGTCCTTTTTCGGTAGCCTTGACGTCAGCGTCTAATCCAACAGCCACAGTCGCAAATAGCGGCCCTTCTTCATCGCAACGAAGAGCTTACACAATTATCCGCGTTATCATGGCTGTTACTAGACGGGTAACGGAACTTCTCCTCTATCGCCGCATTCTCCCTTGCGGCATGCGGCGAATGTCACTGCAATTACCGTACTCACCCCGCCTCCCGAAAATCGATAGGACGCGATATTTTTCCTTGACTGGCTTGCTTTTCATTGGATTTTATCGTTTTTTTCTGCTTCTTTTTGGTTTTCATGTTTATTAGACTTGATTAATTAAAATGACTCCTCTTATATAAATGACGATCAAGACTGCATTGAAATTGAAGGGAGCGACCAGCCAATCCAAATAATCAAAGGACTCCCTACCTCACAAATTGCGCGCTCCAATCTTTCATCACAATCCTGCGATAGGCGGCGGGTGCGGCGTGTGCGACGCCGTGTTAGGGGAGAAGTTCCCGGACCCTTACTAGACCGACTCCGGCAAGCCACATTCAGACGTACGGTTGCTCTTTGCGATGCAATCTTTCTGGTGGTGCTCGCCACCCCGTCCCTTGCTGTTGACGCTTCCCCTCCAGGATACGCCAATGAATTCACATATCAGCACCCTTGGGTAACTACACCGCCCTCCGACAAGACCGGCAGGAGCTGACAGAAGAGATGGTAACAGGTGTTTTATGGATGCACGTTTGTCGACCAATACCCCACAACGGTTACTTTGGTGGCTCTTTCATGTGTTCCTTGTCTCCACAACGCTTTATAGGCACACTATCTTCCACGAATCCGCTTCCCATACGGACACTTACTCGAATATCATCGCTGTGAGGGTGTGGATGAGCGTCTGAGAGAAGAGAATGAAGAGGGATCAGAGAAGAGGCATGATAGAGAGAGTGTGAATGTATAAAAGGGTGCTACCCTCTCGAATAAAGCATTCCATCCTCTGTGTTTGTCCGACATCGTCACTGGCGATCAGGACGAACCGAAGAAGCAGTCGAGGAAACCGAAGAAGCCGAAGAAGCCGCAGAGTCCGAAGAAGATCGCAACGCGATGAAGACCGAAGGAGAAGCAGGTAACATCGGGAAGCCCATGGCTGTCGACTCTGGTGTGGAAATATACCGGGGTCGATCTCCGGGAACGTCATGGAGGACCTGGTGGAAGCTCTTCAACAACTTCCTCGTATTGAGGAAGGTAACAGAAGAGAAGGATCAGCGGCTCATTTTCCTGCAGGAGATGGGCATGGGCAACTCAAATTATGAGTTGCTGGAGTCACTCCTGCAGAGCCGCGAGCTGGAGGATGTGGAATTTAAGGACCTGAGACAGGCCATGGAATGCCATTATCAATTAACAGGCGAAGAACCTGATATTAGCAGAGCGTTTCGGTCCTATGTCGAAGGTCCAGAAGCCAGGACAAGCTCTGCACGAGTATTACGCGGAGCTGCAGAAGGCAGCAAATAGTTGCAGCTTTGAAGAACAAGAATCAAGAGATGCAGTGGTCACAATGGTTTTCATTTGAGGACTGCTCTCAGTGGAGACAAGAAAGCGTTTGCTGGAGAGGGAGGAACTGACATCGAAGGAGGCGTTGGAACAAGCGGAAGCGTTTGAACAAGTTGGAGAAAATGCCCCACGTTTGAAGGAAGGATCAGGCCGCAGGAGTAGCCCAGGTGAGAATGCGTAACCGGCAACCGGCTTGGCGCGCGCAAACGAATGAGCGAAAGCGGAAACCGAGCAAGGGCCCAGCTCGGAAGGAGTTTAAGTGTAGGGTATGCGGGGCGTCAGGCCACGCCGATTACGAGTGTTTTAGGAAGCAAACTGCATACTGTCAAGTAAGAAAGAAGAAAGGGCACCTAGCGGCGACATGTTGGAAAAGCGCTAAGGTAAGCTCTGCTAGGTAAAGTCTCCCGTCAAGTGCACTGGTGTGAGGAGCCCGCCGGAAGCTCCNACAGTGGTGAGGAATTGGTCAGTCAGAGCGTGAATATGGTTGTGAAGTCGCGCTTAACCCTCTGCCTGGCAAGAGTCCGGTGTGCCGATCCAGTCTAAGGAGAGCGGTGATGGCAGGTCGCGCCCTCGCTGGTGGAGGAAGGACAGGCGGCAGGATACGGATGGTGGAAGCCGCTAGCACAAACGCTCCCAGTGAAAATTAGCAAAACTTGGATAAGGGAATGATAGCAGGGGATACGCCTGTTCGGGGCGAAATAGACCGGTTGGCAGATGAGCCACCGCGGATATGGAAGTGAAAGGACAAGGATTCCATTCGAGGGATACCGGCGCATCTTATCCATCACTGATGAAAAGACCTGGCACAAGCTAGGCCGACCGCACTTGCAGAAGCCTGAGAAAGCGGCAACGGCATATGATAACAAGCGGATTATGTTTCAAGGCAAAGTCCCATTGCAATTCAAGTTCGCCGGTAAAGAGGCGATAATAGATGTACATACTGTCTTCAGGGAGGCGAGTCACTCCTTGTGTGGGAGGAACATGATAAGGAAGTTGCAGATCGACTGTGGACCACACTATGATATGATTCATAGCATCGCACAGATGTCCAAAGTAGCAATTAAAGAGGAGTTGGTGCGTATAATGAATAACAATGAGAGGTTATTCCGGGAAGGTTTGGGCAAGTACACAACTTCACGAGCCGAGCTCAAGTTCAGAAATGAGGCAGTTGTGCCGAAGTTCTTTAGGGCCAGACCAGTTCCTATCGCGTTGAGGCCTAAAGTTGAAGCTAAAATGGAGGAAATGGTACGGAATGGTACCATAAAAAGGGTAGAGCATAGTAAGTGGGCCGGTGTGCCGCTGGTAGTTGTGCCCAAACCAGGCGGGAAAATAAGGATCTGTGGCGATTATAAGGTCACAGTGAACCCACAGTTAGATATAAATCAGTACCCTTTGCCTAAGCCAGACGATTTATTCCACATGTTGCACGGCGGCAAGAAGTTCTCAAAAGTTGACCTCTCAGATGCGTATATGCAGGTAGAGCTGGAGGAAAGCTCAAGGGACTACCATCAACACGCATAAGGGACTATTTCAATATACTCGGATTCCGTTTGGAATCGCGTCCGCACCAGCAATATTCCAGCGGATAGTGGAAGAAACGCTGGCGGCATTAGAGGGAGTACTGATTCATCTGGACGACATAACAGTAACAGGTCCAGATGACAAGACGCACTTAGAAAGACTCGAAAAAGTCTTGAACAGGCTAAATGAGGCCGGTTTCTGTTTGAAAAGGGAAAAGTGCGAGTTCTTCAAAGAGAAGATGGAGTTCTTAGGCCATGTAGTCAATGAGTAAGGCATCAGACCATCTCCAAATAAGCTGGAGGCGATATTAAACATACCGGAGCCTAAGAATTCGAAGGAATTTGTCCTATTTAGGCATGATTCAATATTACGGCAAATTTATACCAAGCAACGCTAGCAGCACCGTTGAATAGTTTGCGAAGGAAGGGTGCACCCTGGAAATGGGACGTAGAAGAAAAAATAGCCTTCAATCGAATATTGTGGTATTGGAGCAGTGTTATACCATAGATATAATGATAACAGTGAGAAAGTGATTGCGTACGCATCGCGTTCCTTGACAAAACAGGAACGAAATTACGTCCCGATAGAGAAGGAGGCGTTGGGAATAGTATATGAAGTTGAAAAATTCAACCAGTTTTTCTACGGTCGTCGATTCATATTGCTAACGGACCACAGCCGTTAGTGAAGATATTCGGTCCTAAACAAGGATTACCGGTGATAGCAGCCAAGAGGCTGCATAGATGGGCACTGAGGCTCATGCTATATTTGTTCGAGATTGAGTATAGAAGGACGTCCGAGTTTGGCAACGCGGACAGGTTATCGAGGTTACCCGACCCGAAAGAGTTGCCTAGTGCTGAAATGGTGATAAATGAACTGTGCGTCCAGAAAATTGCACAAGAAGCAGTAGAAAATCTCCCGGTAACAGAGACCCAGATAGGCAAGGTCACAAAAGAAGACCCTGTACTATAATTATATGCAGAAAGGGTGGCGGGTTGAGGTCAAGGATGATAGGCTGAAACCATATGCGGTGAAGAGGACAGCCTTATCATTCCACAATGGGTGTATATTGTGGGGATATAGGGTGGTTATCCCCAAGAAGTTTCAGCAAGTAG